GCTCTGAATTTGGGTTGAGTGTGAATTTCGGTAGAATGCAGAGGGTGACTGACTTAGTCTGGCGGTTGGGTTCAAGGCTGCATTTACAACCTCTCAGGCCACGCTGTGCTTTTGCTTTTTTACAAAAAGATTTTTAAAGTTTTCTTTCCCTCTTGCTTGTTTGCTTGCTTGCTTTCAGAGAAAGGGTCTATGTACTTTAGCCTTGAACTGTGTAGTCCAGGCTGCCCTCCAACTCAAGGGGATCCTCCTGCCTCAGCCTCCCAAGTGCTGGGTTTATAGGTGTGTGCAACCCCAATCCCTCTGTGCTGCTGCTCTTGAACCACAGCAGGAGAAACCAATGCTGAGAAAACTGCAAGCTTCCTTCCCAGGCACTCGTTTATCCAGCCCCTACCCCGCTGCCCTACGTCATTCCCAAGCCCTGCTCTTTGCTCTCATCGTTCTGTCGTTACACTGGGTCTGTCCCCAGAGTGTACCAAGTTGTTCCAGCCTCCGGGCCTTTGCACATGACATCCCCACAGCCCGGCAGGGCCCCTCGCTGGCTCTCCATGTGGCTTGCTCCTTTCTTTACATCGCAGTTGGGTGCTCAACCAGTCACAGAAGGCTTCTCTGACCACCACGTAGGATGGAGGACTTGATGACTTGATCCCTTGGGGACTACCAGGAATTCCCCCTTCTTCACGAAACTCATCACTTCTGACTTTATTTTGGTCACACGGAGGGCTTAGTTTCCTGCCTTCCCCTCAGCCCCTCAGCTGTCTTTCTCATGGGGAAAGACTTGCTTCCCTTCTGTCAGAGCCCAGCCCAGGCTCTGGCACAGGGTAGGCCCCTTTCTCACACCCAGTTAGGCCTATGCATGGATGCACTCCCACGGCTGCCTCAGTGCTTAGAAGCCAGGGGGAATTCAAGGGAGGTGCCCGAGAGGATGGTGGGGAGGAGGAGCCGGTGCAGAACTGAGGGGCCACAGAAAGTCTGGTGTGGAGATGATGGCGAACCTGAGACTCAGTAGGTGGTACATTCTTCTCAGGGACTCAATCGGTGGTGGATTCTTCTCAGGGACTCAATAGGTGGTGGATTCTTCTCAGGAGAAGAGACTTTGTCTGGAAGGTGGGGAAGAAATGCATATCAGTTAAATGGGTAACAAGGCATTTGGAACAGCATAAGAATAGTATTAATTAGTTTAATACATTGAATCCTTATTTTATGATCATCACTTTACTGCAGTGTGGGGTCATCCCCACAGCGTGTTATCTGTGTTTTGCAAATGAGATGTATCTCCTAGACTGGGAGACTCACCCAGGGTCATAATGACCTGCTCAAGGTCATACAGCAATTCAGAGAGTTGGCAACTCCATGCCCTAAAACCGCTGGAGTCAAAGTTGTAAATGTCATACTCCCTGTTCCCATCCTAGCTTTCTGCTGGGACACACAACCTGACACACTGTGCATTCGGCTTGCTTAGATGGCCTCTCTTACCAAAACATAAATTTCCCGTAGGCAAAGATCTTGGTTTTGTTACTGCTGCTTTGCAGAGCCCTGTACAGGGCTGCACAAAAGTGACCACTACATGAAAGCTAGGGGTGGTTGCATGTGCCTGTAGTCTAAGCTCTCGGGAGGCTGAGGCAGGAGCTTCACCATGAGTTCAAGTCCAGCCTGAATTACATAGGAAGATCTTGTCTCAAAGAACCAAACCAAACCAAAACCAAAACACCAAATGAATACTTACTGAATCTTAAAAGGATGAGTGAAAGATTTAAAGCTCCTGAGTTCTTTACCTGGGCTTTTTTTTTTTTTTTTTCCTTTTTGAGACAGGGTTGTGCTATGCAGCTCAGGCTGGCCTTGAGCTCACTTTGTAGGCCCCGCTGGTCTTGAACTTGCAGCGATCCTCTTGCCTCTGCCTCCCAGGTGCTGGGATTACAGGTGTGCATGATCACGCCCAGCCCATAGCTCTTTACCTTTTTTTTTTTGGTGGTACAGGGGATTGAACTCAGGACCTTACATTTGTCAGGCAAGGACTTATGCCACTGAGCCATCTCCCCAGCCCTAATAGTTCTTTAAGAGGCAGTTCTGTAACCATGTGGCCAAACAAAAGACTCACATTCAGTCAAAGAGGCAGGGACAGACCCATCAGAAGGAAGCTGTGTGAGCCCAGCATGGTGGCACACGCTGTAACCCAGCACTTGGGAGGCTGAGTCAGGAGAATTGATACCAGTTTGAGGCCAGCTAAGGCTATATTGTGAGTTCAAGACCAAGCCTGAACCACACAGGAGACCCTGGCTCCCCACCCCCACCCCACCAGGAGGCTGTGTGGGCACAAGAGGGAGTAACTGCGGGGAGCCTGGCACAGAACAGGGAGGAGCTGACATTCACCCCATCTCCAGCCCTGATGCCGCTGCATGGCTTCGTGTGGATGCCACAGGCTGACAGCAACCTTTCTCAGGATGTGGCTTCCTGCACTATGTGGCCTGAGAGGCCCCCTACCTTAAGTACATGAATAGGTGTTGACCAGGAACTAAGTTCTGACCAGAGCTGTGGTTAGACCTTTGAGTAGTTCTTGGGCCCACTGACCTGCTGCACCATGGCTTCTAAAGTGTAGTCTAAATTGCAGTAGCTGGGCTGGGGAGATGGCTCAGTGGAATAAGCACTTCCCTGGCAAGCGCAAGGGCCTGAGTTCAATCCCTGGTTCCGCCAAAATAAATAAATAAAATGCAGTAGCAGCATTAACACCACTTGAGAATTTAGGCCCCCTAAAGGAGTAGGAGCTGGATGTGGTGGCACATTCCTGTAATCTCAGCACTTGGGAGGCCGAGGCAGGAGGATTGCCATAAGCATGAGGCCAGCCTGGACTACATAGTGAGACCCTGTCTCAAAAACCAAAAACAAATAAAAAGGAATAGGAAATAAGAAACTAAAGAGACAGGGCTTCTCCTTCTAGGGAATAACGTCCTCTCCAGGTAATGCCCGTACACGTTAGAGTTTGAGATCTACAGTTTAAGTTTCTCTTTCAGGGTAGTTACTTTGCTGCTGCAAGGGGTGGGGTGGGGCTAAGGTAATAGGGTTGAGTCGTAAATATGGTACAGGGGACCCTGTTACAGATTGAGGAAGGGGTAGATAAGTGACTTGTTCTCTTTGTGGTACCGGGAATCAAACCCAGGGCCTTCATACTGAGCTACACCTCTAGTCCTTTGGTTGATTGAAACAGGGTTTCACTGAGATGTTAATTTCCCAGGCTGGGCTCAAATTTGTGATCCTCTTGTGCTCAGACGACAAGCATGTGCCTCTACACTTGGCTGGATCTGTGATTCTTGAGGGGAAGAGGTGGGACTCTAGTATTTAAAAAACAAAAACAAAAAACTTCAGAGCATGGGTTAGTTTGAAAAAGCATGTTTGAAGTTACCATCATTCTGTAGTCCAGGCTGGCCTTGAACTCACAATATAGCCAAGCTTCAAAATCAGGATCCTCCTGGCTCAGCCTCCCAAGTGCTGGTATTAAAGGTGTGTGCCACCATGCCTGGCTTTAATCTGTTTTGAAATGTTAAATAACATTAAAGGAAGATGTAGCATGAACTAACATACTGTGCTTGAATCTCACTCCTGTCCCTTCTTTAGCCCCAAACAGCAATCCCTTACTGCCCAGGGAATCCATTCACCCCCAGCCCTGCACAGGTCCTAGGTCTCAGCCGGCCTGAGAGATCAGCATAGCATAGCCCCAAAGAGCACAGGGGACAGCACACAGCTTCATGGAGCCCCTGTTCTGTGCCAGGCTCTGTGCAGGAGGTGCAGGGACAAATTCGCCAGTGGTTTCTACAGTAAAGGAGATGACAAGGGACAATTCAGAGGAGAATCATTTCTTCTGCTTGGTGAGATGCTGAAAGTACAGTGATATAGAAGTTTTGATCAGAGCTTTGTTTTCAGTTTTGTTGGATAGTAGAACACCTGAAGTGAGGTCCAGGAGGGGGACAGGTGGGTGGGGCTTGGATGCTGCGTAGGAAGCACAAACACCAGTTCCTAGCAGTATTGCCACCCCACCTGTTGGCTGCCTCATCCAGGCCTTACTTAGGAGAAGTATAAGGCTAGACACTAACACTTGCTAACATTTACCCAGTGAGTATGGTGCCAGTAATCAAGGTATGTGCCGTACATGTGCTGACTTATTCTTTACACAACAGTATGAAGTAGGTCCTAGTACCACCCACCTTGACCAAGAGAGAAATTCAGGCACTCTGAATACAATCATTTGCCTGAGGTCACATACTGAAGCACGCAGTAGGGAAATCAGAATTTGAACCCAGGATGCCTGGCTCTCCCAGGATCAATGTGCTCTCCCGCCCGCCTCCTGAGTGGGGAAGGAATGCTTATTTTGGTGAGTATATAGGACTCAGAAGAAAGTGTTTTGCTTTTTTGCATGTTTGAGCATTCTCATGGGTGTTGACAATCCACAATAAAGTGCTATTCGAGGGGTGTGCATGCGTGGTCGTGTGCATTCGCGTGTTTTTGTTGAGGATGGATTCATGCATGTTAGGCAAGGTGCCACAGAGCTCGCCGTGTCCAAGCTGCCACCTAGCCCAGGAAAAATTCTTTAAGCCCCACAGGATGGCGGCTCCTAAACCCACATAAAAACTAGTCAACCTTCATTGTGCCAGTCTTCAGGGCTCTGCCAGTTAACAGTCTTCCTCGGTCTAGGGGGCCACGGCCGCTGCCCCGCCCCATCCGGGGGTCGCGGGAAGCCCTAGGCCGGGTTGGGGGCGGGGAGACGAGGCACCCCGGCTTCCCCTCAGAGTGGGGAGGAGCCCGCGCGGAACATCCTTTCCCGGGCTGCAGGCGGGGTCCTTCCCGCCCGCTCGCTTGCGTCGTCTGGAAGCGGAGATTCCTGGTACTGCGTGGGGCGCGGGCGGCGGCAGGTGCGCGACGGGACTACAAGTCCCAGCATGCCCGGCGGTCCTGACCCGGCCCCCCGCCGCCGCTTAAAGACTCCGGCAGCCGCAGCCGTCGGGTCGCCGCGCCTTTCGCTTTGCAGCCGAGGTTGGGCTGCGGGAGGATCGGGCTAGGCGGCCGGTTGTGCTGGCGTCCCTCTAGGGCGTCGCCGAGGGGCGCTCTGCGTGCAGCCTTCCCAGTCCAGGGCTCCCCTGCCGAGGCGCCCGCGTCCCCGGGCTTCCTGCCTCGGGCCCCCGCGGCCCCGATGCCGAGGCATGGATAGAGCGGTGCTGCGCCGCGCGGCGATGGGGGAGAAGAAGGAGGGCAAGGAGGGCGGCGGCGGGGGCGCCGCGGCGGCCACGGACCGGGGCTCGGGGGCCGCAGCCAGTCGGGCGCTGCAGCAGTGCGGACAGCTTCAAAAGCTCATCGACATCTCCATCAGCAGCCTGCGCGGGCTGCGCACCAAGTGCGCTGTGTCCAACGACCTCACCCAGCAGGAGATCCGGACCCTGGAGGTAATTCGGGGCCGCGGCGCCCGAGGGTCCGGGACCCGAACTGGGCCCGAGGAACGCCCGGGTACTCTCCTTCCCGGAGTTGCATCCTGGAGCCGGGTCACCTCCTTGGACGCTTCCTCCACTCGCTGATGCGGCAGCGTGGGGACCCCAAGCCGGCGCTCACCTTGGGCAGGATTTGGGGTAGGGGGTGTGGAGTGGGAACCGGGGTGGTGGAACAAGGAGCCTGTGTGTGGGGTTCCCTCCCCGCCCCTTTCGCCCACGTCTCATTTCCAGGTTCCGTGGGACTCATGGTCCTACTGAGTCACGCGCTGGACTTTTCCCCGCGTGCTTCAGCCCAGCGGCTGTGGGCTAGAGTGACTGGGGAGCACCACCGAAGTGTGAGCATAGACCCGCCACCCTCAGTCTTCTCCTCACGCCTGGCTCTCAGGCTTGTCCCTTTCCTCTGTGTCTTGTCTGCCGCTTTTCAAAAAGTGTTTGCTGAAATAGCATTTTTGCTGCTCAGGCGTTCGGTTCGTTCTTTTAGCAGTGCCACAGCCATTCCTGCCCAACGTGTGATTACCCACTAACTCCCTGTACTCCCCACAAACGTTGGGTTTTGGCTTAGGGAGGATTATGCTGGGCATGGAAGCCTTTGGTGGGAAGATGACACTACTTAAGGGGTTCTCGTGGAGGTGGCCTGGTGTGTAAGGGAGAAATAAGATATGTGTGCTCTCCTCTCTCAAATTATAGCTGGGCAGTGCAGCATTAAAAAGACTTAGCAGAAGGGTTGTTGGGTTCTCAGAAGGGGAAGCTCCCCCATCCTTACACAATAGAGGGACACTAGTGCATTCCCAGCTTGCTTTTGTCAGGGGATTGGGAGGCCTCTGAAATTGCAGGACCAATTTGTAGCTGTCCTCCTTCCATCGTATATTGCCTCCTCAGGGCTCTTGTAGGTCTGGGGATGTTTTGTTTTATTAGATCCTCTGTTTCTCCCTCTCCCCTTGTTATTGCTAATTGCTTCTGCCAGCTGTCATAAGGCCAGTCTGCGATTACCATAATTATGAGAAGACCAGTCCTCCCTCCACACACACACACACACACACACACACACACACACACACCACACGCCTGAATCCTTGTTTGATCCAAAATGCTTGGGGTGACTCCCATGGCTTTCTTTATTTAAAGCTGCAAAGCTAGAGACATTAGAAGAATCTAATCAGTAATATATATATATATATATATATATATATATATATATATATATTTCTACAGTTGCTGTACCAGGACTAAGGTTTTTCTTAAAAAAACAAACCAACAAAGCCTTTCTGCATAGGTACTGCTGTTTTCCAAGTGAAACTGCTTTCCTGAACAGTCCAGCAAAGTTCAGTTTCTAACCCTCTGTGGCCTAGTTCCAGGAGGAGGGACATTGTCCGGCAGTGTGTGTCTGGGTGGACCGTTCTGTTCTTGGGCTGGCTGTTCTCTGGGTTGCTCTCTGTTGGTGTGTCCATGTGCCGTTCGGAAGGCTCTCAGGATGTGTATAGGAGAACCCTTTACTGTTCATTTTCTGCAGATGGCTTGTCCTCCAGGTATCCTGACTTCTGGAGTCGTACATTTTGACAAGGGTGTGGCAGCCTGACTTCCCAGAGCATCCAGCTGTTGGGGGTCTCTGAGGCTGTTGCCTCCTGGCCTCCCCGCGGAGGGTATGTTTCAGCAGTCCTCTTTGGCAGCTGGAAAGTCACTGATGGCCCTAGTGCTGTATGTGTGGGACCAATAGCCAGCCCCTGGGCTGGTCTTTCTACTGGTATGGAGTCAGGCTCACCCTACCCCTTGAAAAGGTAGGACCTGGGTTGCTTACTGTTTGAGTTGGGAATTTAGACCCTTGGACCTAGTTTCCTGGGGCTGCCACCAGCTAGTTTGGTGAGTCACTATCCTGGATGCCCCAAGCTTTTCTCTCATCCACAAAGTGGGGAGGTTGGAGTGTGAGGGCTCTTAAAGCTCTGCATTCTATAGTTTAGTGAAGAGGCTTGTGGGTTGAATTAAACATTTATGATCTGTTTAGTTCAGTTCTTTTTTCTTTCTTTGGGATAGGGGTCTTGCTATGTAGTTCAGACTGGCCTTGAACTCACTGTGTAATGTAGCTCAGATTGGGTTTGAACTCCTGGTGCTCCTCCTATCTCTCAGTCTTCTAAGTGCTTGGTGCAGGCATGTGTTGCCACTCCCCATTTAGAACAGTTCTAAAGTCCCGATTTACTGGACTGATAAAGCAGGAGGCAAATTTATTACTATAAGAATCTTATATTCTCTCCCCAGTACTGTAGATTAAACCCAAGGCCTTTACACTGAGCTGCATAATCCAGTCTTGCCTTTTCTTTCATTTCCCTTTCCTTTCTTTTCTCTCTCTCTTTTTTTTTTTTTTTTTTTTTGTTTTTTGAGACAGGATCTCACTATGTAGTTCAGATTGGCCTTGAACTCACTGTGTAGCCTAGCCTGACCTCAGACTCTTGCCTTGGCCTTTTGAGTGCTGGGATCATGGGAGTGCACCACCATGTCTGGCCCTAGCCCTTTATTTATTTATTTATTTATTTATTTAGAGACAGAATCTTGCTAAGCTGGCCTGGTTGATCTTGAACTTGAGATCCTTTGACCATAGGAACAGTGTGGTGAACAGAAAACACACAGCTTTGAAATTAGTCCTGGTTGTGCATGTGACCTGAGAAAGGTCCCGAGATGTCTATCAAGCTCCTAGTCTGTAAAATGGGGAGGACCGCTTACTTCTTATGACCATATCAGTCAGTTTCTTGGTGTGTGCTATGAGTACTAAGGTTCTGCCTATAAACTATCCCTGGGGAGTGCCCACAGGCATTCACTCCCCAGGGCATATTTCGGAGGAGGAATTTCTGCAGCTGGCTCTGATTTCCTAGATGTGGATGACACAGGCTGGGAAGCATCCCAGCAGGCTGGTTGGGTGTGGCTCACCCCCAGCAGCAAGGAAGAGGTCAGGCAGGCGGCTGTGGCAGGGCCTCTTGCTTTCATTGCTCCTTTGCAGGCTCCTTATGTACACTGGGTAGGGTCCCCAGAGACTGAGCTTGCAACATGGGATTCTTGGCCTTTGAAGAGGGGTCTGGCCATGGGGCCTGGCTTGCGTGACATTAGACATCTTACAGAACCTTAGGAACCTCAGCCCATTCTGGCCCTCATTACATGAACACTTCATGGGAGAAGCAGCATGTGAGCTATCCCATGGAAGGTCTGGACCAGGGACAGGCTGCTGTTGCTCAAGACCCCAGATTGTGATGGTGAGCAGGAGTCTGTCCTCTGCGAGCCATCCAGCTTGGACTGAAAGGGGCAGAAAGAGCCAAGTTCAAATGTTTGCTTCCTGTGTACTCCATGGTGCGCTGGTCCCCTCTTGATCTGGGATTTCCTGGCAATGCCCCAGCCTTCATCAGTACACACACATTTTCCTTCTCTAGAGGGAAGGGGAGAGGGGGACATAGCCAGAAGCCAGGGTTAAATCTGTAGAAGAACTCATGGGGCTACTTCATCCTTGCAGAACCTGGTGCCCTGTTCTCATTAGACCCTCCTAGGGGTCTGAGAATTCCATGAGGCAAGTAGAGAGGCTCCCGTTCCCCAGCTGTGCTTGCCGAAGGACACCTGGCCTGCCTCACGGCGGGGCCCACCCAAGCCGTTTCAGGCTTTCATTCTCTGTGGATCCCATCTGTGCCAGCTGGGAGATGGGCGTGCAAAAAGCAGATGCTCACGTCACCTCCCCAGGATTGGCTTTTGGGGTGCGTTGTAACATGCTCTTTTCTGTTAACCCACCAGCCCTTCTCAAAGAAAGGCTCAATTCCCTCTGGTCTCCTGACCTGTGCTTGTGCAAGTGGACCTAGAGGAGGGTACCCCTAGGGGCTGTGCTCATGAGGCCTTGCTGGAAGGCGACACTGGAGGACTCTAGTAAGTAGCTTTGGCTGCTTCCCAGATCAGTTGCCCTGGAGCCAGGAGGTGCCCAGGGAGCTCTGTGGTTGCTTGGTCCTTGACCCTGCTTCTCACCCGGAATGCAGAGAGGTGAGAGCCTTCTGTGTGAAGACCTGAGCTCTCCTTATGTTGTCCCTCTGCGCTCCAGCGTCAGGCTCAGCACTGCTGGACATGGAGAGGGCTGCCCACATCCTCAGGTCAGGTCCCTGGGACACAAGTAAATGTGTGGGCACTGGGTGACCTTTGTTTACTGGTGATGCTTACTGAGCTGCCAGCCAGCAGCTGTCCGGGTGAGTTTCTGAGGTGGGATGGGAGCCTGGCAGGTAGAGAGCGGTGCCTCCAGTGCTGTGGCTCTCTGAGGCTCAGGAGTAGGATTCCTTGCATTTTGAATCCTGTTGAACTTTTGGGCAGCCCAGCCTCCTGGTTCGGTGGGAAATCCTCCTGAGGTCTTGGTGACCTCTCCCAAGTCACATGTCCCCTGCAGAGCTGAGATCAAAACCTGGTTTCCTTTTTTCTTTTTTTTGGTTTCCTTTTCTGATCTGGCTACCCAAGTGGTGTGTGTCAGTGATGGTGAATCTATGGATGCATGCCTCAGGTGGCTGTTATTATTGAGAACTCTGTAAGGTTCGCCATCACTGGTGTATGGTGTTCTCCACCTCAGTTTAAGCCCTCTGCCTGAGCAAACTCAGTTGTTCCTGAAGGGGCACGGAGCCTCAGTGTTGTCCCTTTTGGTGTCCGCTTTCACCTCGGATGGAATTCTCAAGTGTCCCCCTTCCTTCCATGATACCAAGGTCGAACCCAAGACCCTCCCTCAGGTCCTGGAAGGCAGCATTTTGCAGCAGACCTCTAGTGGCCCTGCCCACCACTGTGGTTTGGAGAGGGGACATGCAAAAGGGTTGGCCTTCAGTGACAGTGTCTGCAGTACTGTGGGGAGGTAGCAAAGCCCATGGCCAAGTCTCTAGCTAAGCTGTGCTTTTTTAGAAGGGACATCCTTTCAGGGCAGGCTGGTTGAAGTCTCTTTGCAGTCAGATCACAGGAAAAGCTAC